CAATAAAATCTTGTGGAATGCAAGCATACTGTACTACAAGTGCATTTCAAAGTAATAAGTATAAAACGTTTTCTAGCTGTGCAGTCACACCACCATGAGCAATAAATCAATAGAATATACATTTCTGGAGAAGACAGTTTATTATTACCTGTACTGCACTGTGTTACAAACTTCAAATCAACAAAGGGCAGGATGACTCTGCACCAGACTTGATGACTGGTCACATATGAGACGCTCCGTGTCAGAAGGGGGTGAAGCGCCAAATTAAAAAAGCTGAGAAAAACGCGTTCAAAGTTTTTCGAAGTTCAAACAGCCATAACTTCTTTTTTTTTAAGCTAAAGGATTAATTTATTTAGCACGCAGCTCAATCCCTCTCCTAGCAAACTGTGAAAACTGAAAGTCAGTACAGTACTGTGAATAGTTATTATTTTATCGCGAGTTGAATGTGAATAACTACCCTCGATGTACAGTTGTTTGATCTTCAAACCAACAATAATTGCATTTTTCTGCTAAATTTTCTTATTATTGTGGGCTAATACTGTAAAACAAGTTAATGATCACCAAAAACAGCACTAGTCTTAACCCCAAATAATATTAAAGAACTCATTTGCCTATCAGTATTTATCTTTCCGTCCATATTAGTAGCCAAAGATTTATAATATTGTTAAGTATAATAGTGTGTAATAATAAGGAAACACCACTCACCCCCAACTTAATTAACATACGAATACAAAGGCAGAGAAAGTTTGCATAATATTTGGTAAAAACAGTATTATGATAATAGTATTACAATCTTACTTTGTTTCGTTCCTTCGTTTTATTATCCCTGAAGATTGTAGCAACTTGAAGCTTCGCAAATCCTGAGGAGTGCGTATAACTTTAATGGCCTCGTCATAAACAATCATGTACTGATCAAAGTCTTTCTCTGCCCTCTCTAAAAATTGCCACACAGATTCTTCATCAACTACATCATTGATTATTGATGCTGGCAACAGTTCAGTTCCTTACAAGATTGAGTTATGGGCTCACTTTCACTAGCGTTAGTTGGGTCAGGCTCACTTTCATCACTATCAAGGTCAATGGATGTCTCGTCACTGTCCACTTCTACCTCCTCACAGTCTGTATGTTCTTGTTGTGATACAATAGTGTCACTGTTTGTGTTACCCTTAGACTCGCTTTCATCATTTTAATCTTCACTTTCACCATCATCAATATTTCCGTCAGTGCATGTCATGTAATTCTGTACCGGATCACAATCTGCAAAAAGGTCTTGTGATGCATAGCAGTCACTTTTTGTATTATGAGTATTCTCAGTTTCATCTATTTCAAGCTCACTTTCACCGTCATTATCATTGTCAATGCATGCCACATTGTCTTTTAACTCGTCATTGTTGGCAAAGAGATCTTTGCATGCTTTGTAGCATGCTAAAAAGTTATTGTGTGTGTTAAAGTGTGATTGTCATTATGATAATCACTTTCATCATGCTGTGAGTCACTTTCATTGTCAACAGGTAAGCCGTCATAGTATTTATTCTAGATTCAATACTACCACTTGGAGTGTGATAATCTTTAAATTAGAAGGGAAATGAACGAGGTAAATTGAGAAGTGAAATCATTTCTTGCATATGCCATGATGGAAAATTATGTGAAATTGTTTATTCATGTTTTTTAGGAGAATAATGGTACATAGTGATATTTTAAAAGTTTAAGAGTGTGCTATATGAAATATGTATTAGAAAGCGGTAGTGCATAATGAATAGAGGAGAAAGGAAACATAATATAAAAGGAAATAGAGCTATACATAACCAGAGAACCAAACATGGCATATTGAGACGGGTTTTCCGTAATCAATGTTTTTCTTTGCCTTTCAGAAATGTCTGGAATACGTGAGTGTGTAAGGCATGTAAAATGTGAAAGGAAAATCAAGTTTTTATGGATATACTGTAGTTTATGAATTTATTCTTTACCTATATATATTCTCAAAGGTGGTTTACTTCCTTGTCTTACAATCATCTTTGTAATCTTAATTTATATTGTGTTAGTCCAATAAATAACAAGAGCAAATAGAATAACTAGTTTATTCCGATCTTTTATTTCATTTACCCACTAACATTCTTGTCTGTGCACAAGTGATTTTTGCATTTGCCCCTAAGATATAGGGTTTCATATACAGTACTGTATATATGAATAACGGTCAGTATTATAAAATTATCTGACATATCTACTTATGATATTGCCCATTATTATGAACACAGAAAAAAAATGTGTTTTCCCTACAAAATTATAAATTTACCCTAGATATTATTACTTTATGACTTTTTAATTGTTAAATATGGATTCCTCACCTTTTTTCATGAAAAAAAAAGTAGTTAAAAACGTTAATGTAGGCATTTCCATTTTTTAGTGACTTGGTACTTATTGGGGAATACCGCTGAAATTGGCCGACGCAGTGAAACGGTTAAGGAAAATTTAGAGCCTTTTTTTTTTTAATAAATATCCCACCTTTTATAATGGTGGGCATTGGGAAAATGTGAACCGATTTACAAAAAATCAACCTACGAGAGGTTTTTCAATAACATAACCCTCTCATAAATTGGGGTCTGCCTGCATTATGCGGAAAAAAAATCAAATTTATGTTTAAGTGCCCAGTACCAAAAAAACTAAAGTAACATCTGGAGGTGATCTTTGTGCACATCTGACAGTGGAGGTGCTCAGCAACCCATATCAGAATATTTTCTGCATGTATGCACTTTCATGAATGAAGGAAAATGCATATACTGCAGTATAAATAATTGTACAAAGGTTCCAGACTGCCAAAAACTATGATGATCTGAAAATACATTAGTGTGCTACCTATTAATTTTTTAATATTATTGATATAATAAAAATTTGCACTTACACTGATCCATGTCTAATAAAATGTTTGTGATATAAAATACTAGCATAGAGCCAGGTGCAAATAAACAAATTTTTAATAAGCAAATAATGCAAGATAACAGGTATAGTATAGGTAAAGTAAATAACAAAAATGCAATGTCTAAGCAGTCATGAGCCTTAACAGATATTTCTATTAGGATCAATTTCTTTTCTGCAACAAAATGAGAAAAAATAAATAAGCCTTATGACACAACTACCCATGGCTCAAAAATAGCTACCGATGACACATTAGAGTCAAACCACTATAGATCAGCTGAACAAATGGGTCAACTCGAGAAAAAGATACCTGGGTCAGATCCAATTAAGGCAATGGGCAAGGTCCAAAGCTATATTCACCATTTCAAGAGTTGTGAGAAAGATCCACCCACAATAGAGCTAATCTAAACACACCTTTAAGATCAACCATGTATGCCTTGACATCATAAAGTTGACTTAAAGTGGCAGATTAGCACTATCTTCCTCAGCAGTTATTCCACAGACCCATTCATCCACCAGAATCTTCCATTCATACCAAGATGACTGAAACAACAGACACATACAGACAGGATATACAGACAGCTGGTGGCAGGCTGTACACAACACTGGCTGCAAAAACATATAAGAAAATAAAGTACAAGCACTTCTACATGTATTGATAAGATTTGGAAAGAGGCCTTGCTTAAATTTAATAATATACCAAATTTTTCAAGTAAAACAAGGTATATTACTATCAACCTGCGCAAAGCATCAAGGACCAAACCTCATGACAAGAGAAGTGCCTGTATCCATTACTCTCAATTAATCAAATAGGTACTATATTTTGGATTGACATTGTATCTTTCAAATACACAAAAATAAATATGCTACATCTGTGAATCTTTTAATTCATCACTCAAAAATCAAACTATTAATCATCAGTCATGGTTTATTTAACTGCTATATGGCTAAGGAATCAGGAGCTAATTTACTAAGTCTATCTAATGACTGAAAAGGGGATGAGTGTTAACAACAATTACAATGAACATAATCAGGCATTTATAAAGTTGAGAAAAAGTTGACTAAGAATTCAAATGAGGTATCGGTATTAGTGGCATGCAGAAGAGGGTAGTTCTAAATCATGCAAACCAACGTCATTAATCATCAATCTATGATAGAATTTAATATTTCTCTAGAAAGCATCGATGGGTCTCAAGGTAAAAAATATATACATCAAATTAATTTTAATGTAACCTGTATATATGTGCATACATCAGAAAATAAAACAAAGTCAGTCAGAAACGAAAACGACTCAAAAATATCCTAGTACCAGTATAGTGTATATAAAAATTTTGAAACAAAGCTACACTCTGATTGCTGGTAATATGGGACTGAATTTGATAAATTTCTTTCATCAGAAGAAACACTTTACAGTATAAATTCAACCAGATACCATTAAAATATATTTCAGATTGTCAAGCTAAATCTAATTTAAAAAAATTGCAACACATGAACAGAGATACAGTGATCATTATCAAACACCAAGAATTTATCTGTCACATTTTTTATTTAAAAATAAACAATTCACTATACTGAAAAAGTCAAACACAGAATGTTTGCAAACATCAGAGTGAAAATATGATTAATGATGGTGTTATTACTTAGAATATATACTGCATTAATTTAGAATATAATAGAGCATGCAAGTCAAGACTTTAGATTCCAAAATTAGTTCCTCTGTCTGAAAGACAATTTTTCTTAGCGCACTATACCATGTTGCATCACTTATTCATATCTTAAATAACATGACTTCAAAAACTAAGCTTTGCATGTACAATTAAGATAACATTATATTAACATAATACAGCACTGTATAAAATTCTTCAATACTGTATATGGTACATAAAATGTTCTTCCAATAAAGAACGGGAATTAATCATACACTTCCATAGCTCATTCAGCAGCAAAGCTTGACCAATGACTTTGTAAAACAAATTATAACATATGTTTTGCCAGTTTGCAGGTAGTAATTTCCGTTGTTTAACTTATAAAAATCAAATCTGGGATAACATTAAACAAGAATACAGACTTTGCCTGATAGAGCTTACCTGGGCTTTCATGTTGGTATTCTTGCTGGGGTAAGAGGAAGCACGTGAGAACTTCTTGACCAGAAGCTTCGTCAACCTGCAGAAAGTCCATCTCTAATTAGTGACACCTATAACTTTCATTGCCAATGATGAAGAACAGGCAAGGGGTGTAAAGATTTCAAAGGACAGGATTACAGTTTTATTCACAGCTAATGCAAGTGGGGATTTCTTGACGAAACCCCTGGTTGTTAACCATACTGCCCATCCTAGAGCCTACTGTCATGCCAATATGTCATAACTCAATGTTTATTGGACGTCTAATAAGAAAGCTTGAGTTACGTCTTTATGCACCGATTGGTATGACTAGCACTTTGTTCCTGACGCTCAACAGAACTGCCGGAGAAAGAACATTGACTTCAAAGTGCCCCTAGTGATGGATAATGCTCCTGGACACTCTTTAAGTTTCTAATTGGATACCACCCTAATGTACAACTTCTTTCCATTTTCCTAACATCACATTAATTCTGCAGCCACTTGACCATGAATTCATCTGTAACGTTAAACTGTTCTACAATCAGTCAATGTATAAAGACTTTCGTCAGCAGACAGACTCATTAGCTGAGTTACAACAAATCTAAGCAGAACTCTCTGACAGTGACCAGGCATGGCGTAAGATTAATGTTGCAACAGTGATACACGCATGGAAGCCCTTGTTTGCTAACCCCGAGGTAAGTGGGGTTAGAGCAGACTGAGGCAAGAGGAGAGAGGCAGTCCATGGCGGCAACATTAATAGACACGGTCGAGGCAGCACAATCAGTCCCAGCACCGGGATTTTCGGATGTTTAAATTGAAGATTTGCAAGAAATCATTGGTCAACATCAGCAGCAACCGACAATTGAAGAAATGTTGGAGGAGGATGAAGAACAGCAACCACCACAAGAGGATGACATTAAGCCTGGTGACCCTACAACAGGCCTGCTGACTGAGGTGCTCACAACCATCGCACGTCTCAGTGAGCAGCTACAAGAATACGATACTAGGCTTCATCCTCGAAACCTTATCTGACCTATCCTTGATAAGGTTATGGAGGAATATAAAGCCCAGCCTGTTATTGATGCCTTGGCAAACATCACTTTAGGAGATGATGATGGCACCACCGATGATAATATTGAAGTGTTGGGCGACTTCTAGTGGAAGAGCTGCCTCAAGATTTTGAGGGATGTGATGCTGGGGTTAGAGGAGGTGTAGATGAGGAAGCAGTAACCAGCCCTCCCTGCCTCAGAACCCATCAACCAGCCCTGTCAAGCATTTCACCGACACCATCAAGGTAAGTTATTCTACAGTATGAGTGTGTATAAATATTGTAATCAACAATACTGTATATATATGTACGAATTCATTACTGTAATGTCATCTTCTGGGTGGGTGAGTGTGAGTGTGTGTGTGTGTGTGTGTGTGTGTAGAGTATATGTGTGTGTGTGTAGAGTATATGTGTGTGTGTGTGTGTGTGTGTGTGTGTGTCCTGCTCCCAGATGAAGGTCGACTCACAGAAGGGAGTCTGGCTATACCTTCTTCTGGAAGGGTAAGCTTGCTGCAGAGAGAAACCGCATTTATGGAGTTGGCTTTGCCAGCCGCCTATGCATCCTACAGAGGCTATCTGAAATGCCTGTTGGGATCAACAAGTCCATCATGACACTCTGAGTCCCACTAAATCACTCACATCATGCCTTCTTCATCAGTGCATACGCCCCAACACTGGATGCGGAAGATGACATCAAGGAGGCCTTTCACTCCGACCTCAACAGAGTGCTAACCTCTATCCCCAGAGAAGATAAGGTTGTGCTTCTTGGTGACTTCAATGCCAGAGTTGGCAGAGATGCTGACATTTGGCAGGGAATTATAGGGAGAAATGGACTCGGCAAGTGTAATCCCAACGGCCTACTCCTCCTCAGCAAATGTGCTGCTCACAACCTCACTATCACCAATACCTTGTTATGGCAGGCCAACAAGTTCAAAGGTTCGTGGCAACACCCACAATCCAAATACTGGCATCTCATTGAAGACGTCATTGTCAGATAAACAGATCGCAGAGATGTCCTCATCACCCGAGCCATGCGTGGCTCAGACCACTGAGACACTGATCAACAGCTTGTCAGAGCCAGACTCTCACTTCACGTCGCCCCAAAACGGTGAAGGCAACAAGCCTCCAGAAGAGGTTTTAACCAGCAGCAGCAGCAACTAACTCAACACAGCCAGGGTAGCTACTTATGTATTAGGATATGTAATTTTAAGGAAATAAGATGGCAGCAAAGGTGTGGCTATTGGGGAAGGCTGGAGGCCACGCTTTGGGGGCAAATTGTCTATTTCAAAATTTAAAATCACAAAACTCTTGAAAATTTTCAAATTTTTATACACTGTACAGTAATATACAACAGAATGAAACAAACTAACATACTTTTCACTACGCTCAATATGACATCAATATACTGCACTTTATACATAACTTGTGTCATGGCCTACCTCAGTCTGGAAATTAAGCATAGGTTGAGCCTGATTTTCACTAAGCCACACAGCCTTAAGGTTCAGGGCAGTGATGGTCAACGGCAAATATTGCAACCTAAAAAATACAATGAGAGAACATTATCAAATCAAGTTACACTGTAATATAAATCCAGCATACAGTACTCCTAAATCTTGCCCAATTTGTGGACCACTGAACTATAGTGAAAAAATGTAAACCCAGTCCTTCCAAGATACACACTTAGACAACACACTGGAACTCCTTTAAAATACCCTGTCCAGTTGTTTTCCCCCTTTTACCTACTGATGGGGGAGGTAAACATAGTACACTGCAGTTTAAGCTCAAGAAGGCAAGATAATTGAAATATGTATGTACAGTTAAGGATAAAAAGAATCGGCAGGGAGGGAGTGAAGCTGTATCTGTCTCATACTTAAAACTAAAAAAATATTAATTATTTTGTAGTGTGGACAGAAAATCGCAGACTTTTAATGACCACTTCTATGTGACGTTGCAGAGTCTCCACCTACCCCTACCCTCCCATAAGCCACCTCCCTCCCTCCCTGCCTGCTGAGTTCTTTTTGTCCACAAATGTACCTTAAGTAGCTCAATGTCATAAGTAGAAAATCCAAAAGAAAATAGGAGTATAGCTTGTCAAAGTAATTGGACACCTGGTCTGAAGAATGGGACTGTTCATAAATGCAATAATTCATAATATCATCCAGTTATTTTTCTTTGTACCCTCTGATGGAACAGGGAAGGTAAACACAGGCAGTGTAAACTCAGGAATGCAATATAGTATAACTAACAAATAACCTGTACACAAGTAATGCTTGGTTAGTACGTTATAAATATAGGAGATAGAGTTGTATGCGGCTGGAAATATATGAGAGTACCGGTACAATAAACCCATTTAGAAATTTGATAAATTCTGATTAACAAATAGATGCAGAATATCTGCCTTATGAGAAAGGCCTAGTGAAAAACTTACCGATTGCCTGAAACATCAAGGACATGAAGTTCACAGCAGTTGCCCGTTTCAGGAGGAAGATACTGAAGTCGATTATCTCGTAGTGATAAGACACCCAAGTTTACCAAATTACCTAATAAGAGAAAAATAAATAAATATCCATATTCTTAAAAGAACATACTAAAAATGCATTAATATTTTAAAGAATGTGTTTTCAATTCCAATTTGCCTTAAAAGATGCATGGGGAAGTGCTCATTACAGGATTGAAATATATTGACAACCAATTATGTTAAAAGATTTTCCATCAAGACAAGTTCACATAGTTTCTCACATACCTGAAATACAAAATATATAAGAGTACATAAATTCCAAGATAATCATCCATCTCTTTCTTCTTGAAATAACTAATGTGGTCATGACATGCATCCTAAATTACTGCACAAAAAATATTTACAGCAGTAGGAATTAATGAATGACAAATTACAAAGGAATAATAATGATGATGATGATGATGATGATGATGATGATGATGATGATGATAATAATAATAATCAGTTTATTGAAAGAGCATGACAGCCAGCCACTCTTGATGAAGTAAGAAAAGGTTTGAAAGCATAAAAGAAATAAATTATTTCCACATATCTGTGTGTAATGATTTTTCTTGCCTCTCTTAGTCTCTTTTGGCTAAAACTTGCAATGTTCCTTAAGAAGAAAAAACATGAGAATTGTTAATACTGTATAAGGTAAATAAAGATACCATATAAGACAAAGATTCGTTGGCACTGACAAGAAAGCCGCTGGTGCTGCTTCAAGCTTGTGTGTCTGGAAGCTTTTCTTTATGACTCGTACAAGAGAACATAGAAGTAAGAGGTTTGAAATTTCTATAAAAACAAGTACAGTAACTCAAAGGTCTGCTACTCACCAATTTGTGCTGGAAGTTCATTTAATCTGTTGCGATCAACATTGAGATTTGTAAGCTTGGTAAGGTTGCCTATGGTGTCAGGCAATTCTGTTAAAAGGTTTTCTGTCAAGATAAGTTCTTGTAGGTTCTCACACCTGAAAAAGAAAATACAATGTATGTAGAATACAAGAAAATCATCCATATCTTTCTTCTGTAAATAACCTATGTTGGTTATGACAAATTGACCTTTATTTATTTTTTATTTTTTTTTATGTACTGTTCCTAGATTGTATGAAAATTTTTGTCAGAAGGTAAAATAAACTTCAGTCCAGAAAATTTTCCTCCTTTCTCTCATTTCTGGGAGAAGGTTTTCAGAGTTTCAGGCTGTGGGATAAGGCACTAGGTGTATCTCTTATGGTTCCTCTCTCAAGCAGGATAGTCTAAAACTGAAATTCCTTGTTTTTGGCCTGACACCATTCATTTCCAAGTTTGGAAAACTGACAACAATTGTCACTACTTGTATAGTATTTCCACGCTAACCTGACCCATAAGCCCCGCCCCTCATCCATAGCTACAAATAGCCGATTGGTTCCCCTGAGCGTTTTACCTGCCCCCGGACTGCTCGTATATAAGCGCGTATTTATATCTATCTTTTATAATAAACATATAAAATTTTCTAACATCCTTTCTAAAGTGCTAATGCCTTGACATTATTTTCATTTTGATAATCCATATATTTAACATTATTTTAGATAACAACAAGTCTGCTTACCAATTGCGAACACATTTAGTTTGAATTGAACCAATCAGCTATTAGTATAGAAGAGGGGCGTAGCTTAAGGGCCAGGTTAGCGTGGAACGAGTACATTCACTTTGACTAGTGCTAATACAGTACATTGTACAGTAGTTTTTTGTTTCCTTTGGGTAACTGATCTACTGAATCATTATGCCAAGTGTGGAGCAACTAGAGCTTATAACTTTTAATGTAATTGTCAGTCATTAACCTAACACAACCAAATTGCATTTTGTAATACAAGACCTCCTGGGCCCTGCATCAGCACTGGATATCTTGCAACACATATCCTTACAGTCAATTATATGAAGAGTGTACGGAGCATCAGCTAAGATCTTTGCCAGTCACTGACAGAGTTATAAAAAGTACGGGACTTTGTTACTCAAGGAAAAGTGGTTACATGGCAAAATGTTACTAACGTAGAAGCAAAATTATCCAAATTTCAATGTACTTAAGTAAAAGTAAAAAAAAGTATCTCATTTGTAAAATACTCAAGTACTGAAAGCAAAAAGTAACACCAAAATTATTAATTGCCTCAAATATTAAAATAAATCCAGGAAATTTATAAATAAAAAAGTTAACCGAAGATAAAATAAAATACACGTTTAATTTTTTATTTCATTTTACTCTTATTTTTTCACCACCCAGGCCCCATTGTCAGTCAATGACCTATGCCCAGGTGGGCTATTCCCCGAAAAAAGGAAAAAAATTTAATTGCAGATCTTTCTATAGCCATTAATCAACAACGGATTCACGAAATTATGGCTGTCCAATCAGGATCTTTTAGGCCTATAAGTAAGTCCAGCATAATCTACCGCAAGAGAAAACGTTCAGCCGCTCTTCTCCCTACAATCCACTGCAAGGATAGTGAACAGGCTGAAAATATATCCATCGAACACTATGAACAATTTCTACCTTATCCACACAAGTATCGTCGATGTGGACTTATGGTCCAGACATAATGTTGTCTCTGCTCACATAAGGTCAGGATACAGACCTATTTGGCAAGTATCCGAGGTAGAGGATGACTCGCACTTCTCTTCCTGTAAACTCTGTAACTGTCCCAACACTAACACCCTTCAACACTATTGCCTTGACTGTCCCACGGTCAGGGACCTCCTACCACAGAACGATTCACTAAGCAGTATATGTCACCACCTAGTTATTAGTAATAATTTTTATTTAATTCTTGTACGCTAGTGGCTCACGCTTTAGGTGCTAACTCCCATTGTCCTTACATCACATCAATATTGTCTCCATATTACAATGCACTAGTGTCTTACCGCATGATCTTGTGTCTAGGATTGTCGCCCCTGGGGTGTAATAAATTAATTAAATAATAAATAATAAGCCCAACATGACTAAACAGAGGCTCACAAGCAGCAGGTAGTGGGGTGTTAAGCTTGAGAGAGAGAAGTCACATTATGTCGGGAGAGAGCTCAGAAGCTCCATTCCATCCCCTGGGCACATGCCAAGTAGCTATCAAGGTCCTTCAGTTGAGGAGTTTGTGGATGATTGTTGTCTCCATAGTGATTGAGTCTGACTAAGTATCACTGTGAAATGTCCCTCTAATTGGGGTGTGGCTGTGATGATGTCACTTTTTTATTCTAATTGAGGAGTGGCTGAATTTTTTGCACCACATAACATCTGGCGGGTGCTGGGGGGGCAGTGGTACTTGGTAATTTCAGCAGAATTTTAAATACACCGAGTCTCACACATCTGTATAGATACAGGCTTTATATCCAAGAAGGAATTATGTAAAGCATTTTAGAATCACAGCTTCTCTGAAATTCATTTTAGGTACAGGTACCGTACATGCAAAGAGCAACTGACATCTAATGGGAAGACCAAGCCCCTGAAGGAAATGTGAGGGAGAAGAGAAGGTATTCGATGTGTGAGAGGAGAGATAAGAGGGTGGGCTAGGTGAGGTGGGTGGCCAAGGTGCTAATGGACACAAGAAGATCAAAGGGAAGTCCGTTGTCATGACCACTACCACCTGACCTGACCTGACCTCACCAGACCTCTAGATATGTGCCCACATGGTGTCTCCCCACACCCACACTGTACTCTGCAAAGCTCCACCCACACAACTCTTTTACTATGGTAAATAATTAATTAATTAAAAAAAAATATTACTTTGCATGTAATGAGTAACGATTTTTTTTTCAATTGTATTGGAGTAAAAGAAAACCATTCTTAAGTAAAAGCACTGTATAAAAACCATACTTAAGTAAATGTACTAAAAAAATTGAGTACAGTACCAGGTACTTTTTAAAAAGTAAATACCCAAAAATGTTACTTGAGTAAAGTACTCAAGTTAATTTATTTAGTTACTTTAAAACTCTGGTCACTGCTTGGATGAGGATATCACAATGTCTGACTATGTGATGATTAAGTTAGTTCTTGTGTTCCACTGTTCTTTTAGCAGGTTTCCATCCCTAGTGGAGTGCAATGTTACAGTAGCAGTAGGGTCACTGACCGTACCACCTTACATGTTCAATCTGGTTCCAGTTAAGCAAAATGACAAGTGGTTAGTTCAGCAACAAAAAAGTTATCCTGATCCCCATTTTATGTCCAAACCCATAGCTTGGCAACCCAGACACCCTCCCACCAACTACTGGGCAGTGGAAGTGGCTAGAATGGAGAGTTGACACCTGATACAATATCTAAAATGGCAAACCTGTTTAAGATGAAGATGTGGAGCATTAATGTTACTGTGGGCTCCTTTATATAATGGAATTTCAGGATCAACCCTTTGTTTCTGCTTAGTCTGTTATTACTGTACCTGTATCTATAAAGGTATTGAACAGTTCTTTAGTCATTAGTGTACTGTATGCCCAGAGTGTCAACATGTACAGTAGTTAAAACAACTATCTGTGCATACTTTGTGGGAAACATTTGAGACCATGGACGATAAATATTGGTATATGAGGGTTGTCTCTAGTCATAATTAAAATTTTGGAGCATATCGACCCCCACCTGCACAGATAGTTGTTTTAGCTACTGTACTTTACAAAGCTTTTCATATTCAAACCACAATACAGTACAATCAATTTAAGTGATATGTCCATCTTACTCATATTAATTAACCAAGTCCATGTGAACTATGGGGAATAATACTCTATACTGAGGTAGATAGTAGGCAGCTATCAAACAGGGAGGTACTACTGCCTGGGAAGATATTGGAAGCATAATGTATTGTCTGTGGTAGACCCTGCTACCGTATGGCATCACAAAAACGAATTGTGCTCGTTAACCGAGGGACCACTGTATACATAAAGTAGGACTACATGAAAAAATTCTCAAGTACCATTGGTCTAAAAACCTTTAGGAGTAGAACAGACTCAGCAGAGTGAATACTAAGCCTCAGTACACAAGGAGGTAATGTGGCCAGCACTGCACTCAACTGCCTTCACTTTGCCAGCTAGTCACATCCACATTAACAGAAGCATAAACTGGTGCAACCCTGAAGCTCAACAAATGATTGAGTACTCACTTGCCAATGTTGGGATTTAAGACCATGAGTCGATTCTGATCCACCTTGAATATGGTGAGCTTTGTGAGAGCTCCTATACCATCAGGGAGGCTTTCTATGAGGTTCTGGGAGAGGTGGAGGTCAGTGAGGCTTGTGAGACCGGCAAGTCCCTCGGGCACATCCTCCAGGCGGTTTTCACTGACATCAAGACACAGAAGGTTCTTGAGGCGGCCTGTCTCCGGAGGAAGGTGAGATATCTGATTGTGGTCAAGCCATAATTCTTGCAGAGCTGGCAAGTCTCCTATGTGAGGGGGCTGAAATAAATGGGGATTAAATAATAAAGATGTAGTACACCTTTATGATTTGTGTTGTCATTATCAAGCACCCTGCTACTGCCAAAATACTTAGCAAGAAAATGTTGCAATACAGTATTAATAAGAGCTGGGGTAAATAGTGAAAGATCAAATTTAACATCTCTAAAACTGACTAATCCATAACTATAACTTGTCCAAAGTTTAACAGGCATACTAATCAATAGGTATTCAGGCAACAAATTTCTTTATACTGTATTTCATTAAAACATTAAATACAAAAAAAATTCATGTCTTAATTTATTCAATTATTTTTCATAAATAAAAATATTTACAGCAGGCAGAGCATGTCTTTTCAATCAGCAAAAAACTTATGTTATGTTATTACAGATCTTTATATATTATGGATAATTCAAATAATTATACTGTACAGTACACTGTATATGCATTCAAACAATGTACAGTATTGGGTATTGTGGCCCAGGCACTTTAGAATACAGTACTGTACTACACTTTGAAATTACTTAACACACACTAATACTTCAGTTTGTGAACTGCTTCATAAAATTAAAAGACAACGAGCACCATGGCATGTTGCACTATATTATATTGTCAACACATGTCGCTATGCTGGGAATAAGGAACCCTAACCTAAAATTCAAATTAAAAGATAAAATCAAAACTTAATTATTTGAAATGAAATGGTACTGTAATATTAAAGTACAGTATGATACAGGGTATTGTATATTCATTTTACTTTGGATAATGCCTTGATATTTATATACTGTACTGATCGCCATACCAATAAGTTTCCTTATATATTATACAAAACAATAAACACACTTAAGTACATTTAATCCATGTAGCTACAGGACTTTAAAATAAGTGATATCTAGAAAAAATCATACTACAAAGAAATTACACTCACCAATTCTTCTATGTCATTGTCTCCAATGTCCAGTCTCTCCAGCTTTGTAAGCTGGGAGACTGATTCTGGTAGGCCTTTGAGCAAGTTTTCTCTTAGTTCCAATGATTGTAAGTTTACCAAACTGAAAAATATAGATTAATAAATAAAATGACAACAATACTATATAGTAGCTGTAGACTATATTCAAGGGTAATATATATACCAAGTGTATACATAGTATTGAACAGTAGCTAAAACAACTATCTGTGCAGGTGGGGGTCGATATGCTCCGAAATTTTACGTGCGACTAGTGGCAGCCCTCATATACCAATATTTATCGTCCATGGTCTCAAATTGTTTCCCTCAAAGTATGCACAGACAGTTGTTTTAGCTACTGTACATACATACTGTGCAAAATAATATATTGGTTACCCCTCGTGTTTGAGGCTAGCCGGCACTTGGGTCACCTTACAGTGAATTTTTAAGGTCGTCTGGATCCCTATACAGTCATCTGGATCATAGCCATCTGGACTACTATACAGTCATCTGGATCACTATACGGTCATCTGGACCACTATACGGTCATCTGGATCACTATACGGTCATCTGGATCACTATACGCTCATCTGGACCACTATACAGTCAGTCATCTGGATCACTATACAGTCAGTCATCTGGACCACTATACAGTCAGTCATCTGGACCACTATACAGTCATCTGGACCACTATACAGTCAGTCATCTGGACCACTATACAGTCAGTCATCTGGACCACTATTATCACGTGTCAGTCATCTGACCACTATACAGACCACTATACAGTCAGTCATCTGGATCACTATCGGTCATCTGGATCACTATACGCTCATCTGGACCACTATACAGTCAGTCATCTGGACCACTATACAGTCATCTGGACCTATCAGTGTCTGGACCACTATACAGTCAGTCATCTGGACCACTATATGTCAGTCATCTGACCACTCAGTCATCTGGACCACTATACAGTCAGTCATCTGGACCACTATACAGTCAGTCATCTGGACCACTATACAGTCAGTCATCTGGACCACTATACAGTCAGTCATCTGGACCACTATACAGTCAGTCATCTGGACCACTACCACTATACAGTCAGTCATCTGGATCACTATATGTCATCTGGATCACTATACAGTCATCTGGATCACTATACAGTCATCTGGATCACTATACGATCCACTATACAGTCATCTGGACCACTATACAGTCATCTGGATCACTATACAGTCATCTGGATCACTATACAGTCATCTGGACCACTATACAGTCATCTGGATCACTATACAGTCATCTGGATCACTATAGTCATCTGGATCATTATACAGTCATCTGGATCATTATACAGTCATCTGGATCACTATACGGCCATCTGAATTATACAGTCATCTGGATCATTATACAGTCATCTGGATCATTATACAGTCATCTGGATCACTATATGGCCATCTGAATTATACAGTCATCTGGATCATTATACAGTCATCTGGATCATTATACAGTCATCTGGAACTTTATACAGTCATCTGGATCATTATACAGTCATCTGGATCATTATACAGTCATCTGGATCATTATACAGTCATCTGGATCACTATACGGTCATCTGTATTTATCCTGACCGTAATCAAGTCTAAAGACGGTGCAATACCAAGATGTCTCCACATCAAACGTCTGTCCCTGATCACAGGTTCTCGAGATATCCTGCTGACAGAATGAGGGAAGGGCGATGGATATAAAAGCTTGACCTACTGACTTCACAATGGTCATCAACAAAATGTCAATAAACTTCACAATCTCTCAAAATTCCATTTTAATTGGTCGAAAAACTTCAGTGACATATTCTGAATAGAGTTTTGACCTTTGACAGATGGCACCCAAGTGATGTCTTAAGTTAAGCTGATATCAGTTGTGCAAGTTGAACTGTGTTTGGCTTTTTTAAATACCGGTACTTTACGAAAAGCCAGGCTGTCAAGTGTATGGTGACGTGCGTTAGGGGCAAGGAACAGGACCTTTGTTTGACTAAAACATAACTTTGACCTTGGACCCTGTTATGCAAAAAAAGCTGCAGGTACACTCTAACAGCTAATGCAGGGGCAGATCCAATATCAAGGTGGGGGGGTGCAAGAAGTTGAAGATGGGGGGAAACCCACTCAGCTGGGGGGGCACTGTAACCCCCCCCCCCCCTCCAAAAAAAAATCTGACCAATATCATGGGCACTTTGAAGCCATTTCGAAGAAATGTGCACTTGATATAAGGATATACAGTATTCTGAGGTCAATAGTAATTACTTTTTACAATAAAAAAATGCCTGAGTGCAATATACTGTATAGAATTACTCTTTGGTGTCAACATTTTCCCTCTTATCAATAATGGCCGAAGGGTAAATAGACTAGATATCTATTTATTTATATACTGTACTGTATTTATTTTTATCTATCTATATCACTACTTTGCATTTCAGAATCTAAGGGTTATAGCTTACTAGGTCATATCTTATACTCATTCAAGGGAGGGAGGGAAAAGTAAAGGAGAGGGAAAGGATGGGGGTTCAAGGAGGGAATCACAACACAACACGGATACAGTACTCACCAGCCAAAATCATAAGGTAGGTTGGTGAGGGACATGTCATTGAGCCCCAGTACAGTCAGATTCTTCAGCTGGGTGAAACCGCCAGGAAGTCTGAAAATCAATGTTAACGTTAAAACGAGTAAGAGGCGAAAATTAGGAATCATTACTTTCATCAATTTAAGTATACTGTACTGTACAGTATTCATAAATAAGAACATAGAATTACAATACAGTAAAGCCGCGTTGTTGTTGTGTGATCTATTGCAGGTGCTTTAACCCTGCTAGGTAATATGATGAGACTTTTTTTTTTTACGGGCGTTACCTCACCCGGGCACAGATCACTGACCCACTTCGGGGCCTGACGGACGAAAATAATAATAATAATAATAATAATAATAATAATAATAATAATAATAATAATAATAATAATAATAATAGAAGCACAGTAAATGACTCGCCGGTACAAATACATCAGCATTCCAGAGTGCCACCAAAGATGATTACAGAAGATAATACATAATAGTCTTTAGGTGAATTGACAGATATGATGAAGTGGGTTAGGATGGGTTTTTTTATTTGATAAATAACGAGAAAACTGAATTAACATGCTTACTATTTTTTCGTTATTTTTCCAAAGACTTCTTTTTGCCAAACCTGTTTATTATACAGTTTACCTGGGTTCACGTGCTATTAGTTACGGGTAAAAAATAAATGATAAGATCCCATCATATTAAACTGGCATAATGCAATATGTTCCACAAAGAAAATGGTAGTTTTGATAATTAAAAAACAATATTCTCTACGGGCTTCGAAAGATCTAAATTCTCCAAGTTAAAAATCCCATTACGATTTTCTTTGGATGAAAATTACTAGCTTCCAGAAAGAGAAGAACGGGAATTTCAAGTGGAAACGGGATTCTTAACATTCGTATGTAACTAAGAGGAAGGCCGATCAGCCTCGCCCTCTACCCGACCATGTTGTCTGCCTGGTCTCTACCACTTTTCATAATGTAAAGAAAACACACACACACACACACACACACACACGTGAGGTCCTCATAACACCATCTGTGAGGGAATTACTACACCACGTCAGGTCCCTCATAACACCATCTATGAAGGAACTACACCACGTGGTCGGGAGTTACTACACTACGTGTTTGCTGTTGAACACCTACATTAATCTGTATGTTCACTCTATGTTCCTTTACCTTTCACTAATGCAAGGCTTTTGTTAAACCACCAATGTATGTAATAAGTCATTTATGTTCAATGAATATTTTCAGCCTTCGGGCTGCAGAACTTTTTCAATACACTGTTAATTATTATTATTATTATTATTATTATTATTATTATTATTACACATACGCGCACACACACATACGCGCGCGCGCACACACACACATTCGAGCACGTGTTAATCGGTCTACGATATGAAGGCCTAAGACCACACCTCACTCATATAACACCATCTGTGAGGGAACTACTACACCACGTGAGGCCCCGCATAACACCATCTGTGAGGGAACTACTACACCACGTGAGGCCCCGCATAACACCATCTGTGAGGGAATTACTACACCACGTGAAGTCCCTCATAACACCATATGTGAAGGAGTTACTACACCACGTGAGGCCCCTCATAACACCATCTGTGAGGGAATTACTACACCACGTGAGGCCCCGCATAACACCATCTGTAGAGGGAATTACTACACCACGAGGCCCCTCATAACACCATCTGTGAGGGAATTACTACACCACGTGAGGCCCCTCATAACACCATCTGTGAGAGAACTACTACACCACGTGAGGCCCCTGCATAACACCATCTGTGAGGAACTACTACACCACGTGAGGCCCCTCATAACACCATCTGTGAGGAACTACTACACCACGAGGCCCCATAACACCATCTGTGAGGGAATTACTACACCACGTGAGACCCCTCATAACACCATCTGTGAGGGAATTACTACACCACGTGAGACCCCCTCATAACACCATCTGTGAGGAATTACACCACGTCGTCCCTCATAACACCATCTGTGAGGGAACTACTACACCACGTGAGGCCCCTCATAACACCATCTGTGAGGAAATTACTACACCACGTCAAGTCCCTCATAACACCATCTGTGAGGGAATTACTACACCACGTCAGGTTCTTCATAACACCATCTGTGGGGGAATTACTACACCATGTGATGCCCCTTATAACACCATCTGTGAGGGAATTACTACACCATGTGATGCCCCTCATAACACCATCCGTGAGAGAATTACTACACCACGTCAAGTCCCTCATAACACCATCTGTGAGGGAATTACTACACCACGTCAAGTCCCTCATAACACCATCTGTGAGGGAATTACTACACCACGTCAGGTTCTTCATAACACCATCTGTGAGGGAATTACTACACCACGTCAGGTTCTTCATAACACCATCTGTGAGGGAATTACTACACCACGAGGCCCTCATAACACCATTCAGAGGGAATTACTACACCACGAGGTCCTCATACCATCTGTAGGAATACAATCATGAGGCCCTCATAACACCATCTGTGAAGGAATTACTACACCACGTGAGGCCCCCTCATAACACCATCTGTGAGGAAATTACTACACCACGTCAGGTCCCTCATAACACCATCTGTGAGGGAATTACCACACCACGTCAGGTCCCTAATAACACCATCTGTGAGGGAATTACTACACCACGTGAGGACCCTCATAACACCATCTGTGAGGTAATTACACCACGTGAGGTCCCCCATAACACCATCTGTGAGGGAATTACTACACCACGTGGTCCCTCATAACACCATCTGAGGGAACCACTACATCACGTGAGGTCCGTCCTAACACCATCTGTGAGGGAATTACTACACCACATGTCCCTCATAACACCATATGTGAGGGAATTACTACACCACGTCAAGTCCCTCATAACACCATCTGTGAGGGAATTACTACACCACGTGAGGTCCCTCATAACACCATCTGTGAGGGAATTACTACACCACGTCAGGCCCTCATAACACCATCTGTGAGGGAATTACTACACCACGTCAGGCCCCTCATAACACCATCTGTGAGGGAATTACTACACCACGTGATGCCCCTCATAACACCATCTGTGAGGGAATTACTACACCACGTGAGGCCCCTCATAACACCATCTGTGAGGTAATTACTACACCACGTGAGGTCCCTCATAACACCATCTGTGAGGTAATTACTACACCACGTGAGGTCCCTCATAACACCATCTGTGAGGAATTACTACACCACGTGAGGCCCCTCATAACACCATCTGCGAGGGAATTACTACACCACGCCAGGTCCCTCATAACACCATCTGAGGGAACTACTACACCACGTGAGTTCCTCCTAACACCATCTGGGAGGGAGTTACTACACTACGAGTTTGCTGTTCAACACCTACATTAATCTGTATGTTCACTGTATGTTCCTTTACCTTTCTCTAATGAAGGCTTTTGTTAAACCACCAATGTATGTAATAAGTCATTTATGTCCAACGTATATTTTCAGCCTTCGGGCTGCAGAATTTTTTCAATAAACTGTTAATTATTATTATTATTATTATTATTACACACATTCGCGCGCACACACATACGCACACACGCGCACAAACACACACAATGCCTCCGTTACTATGAAGGCTCTTGGTTTTTGTGTGAAAACCAAAAAAATTGCCAGCCTCTGGAAACAAAGATGAAAAAGGGAATTCTTTAACAATCATTCTTCCTCTAACCCCGAGTGAAAAAGGTTTACAAAGATGGCAAAAAATTATACTATGAGCGTCACACTACTTAGGTAAGTGTAGTAAGAGAGGGTCAGTCATGTGTAAAATAACGGTGGAGCGATGCACGCGTGGACCCGACCGACCACCCCCTCCGTCCCCCACTACCCAGTGGCTGGGGGGAAATAATACAGGATATCCGCCCCGCCACGCCACCTCGCTACACAAAATACTGTTATAATTAGCTCACGCCTCTACAGAAGATGAATGGGTGATACTGCTGTGGGAAGAGGAAGAATAAGATGAAGGGAAGATACGCCATGGTTAATGATAGGGAACTTTTCATATCTTAAAGAGTCGAACTTTAATTGCTGTCCACTTTGATACTAACATTGATATTCAAACAGCTTATTTAGCCGAGCCAGCAGGAGAACTGATATAATCTTTGAAGTTCTCTAGAACCTGGAAAGCTTCACTTGTAGTATTTTTTTCGAAGAAATTCTACATTATGTAGGGCAGAAGTAGAAGATGGTAACGGCTCAACTTCAGGCTGCAGTTCATTTTCCTTGCATACCATATTATGAAGGCAGCATGAAGCAAGCACCACTTTATCAACCGGTTTAGGTTGTAACTCTAAAGGCTGAACAAATATTCTCCAACGAGCAATGAAAATACCAAAGGCATTTTCTACAACCCTTCGAGCTCTAGGTAATCGATAATTGAAATTTGTTTTGGTCTCATCTCCTCGTAAATGATGTCTACTGTATGGACGGAGTAACTATGTTTTAGAGAGGAAGCTTCATCACCAACTATAACATGTGGCTGAGGTACTCCATTTTCACCATTTCTGCCGTATGAACCCACATCATTTACAATGAATTTGTACTTGACATCAACTAGTGCTAGCAGCACAATAGAATGAGTGTCCTTATAGTTGTAGAATGTCGAACCAGAATTAATTGGGCACTGAATATGTACGTATGTGTTTCCCATCTATGGCTGCAATGCAATTTGGAAAGTTCCAGTTCCTTGTATTTAGCTGCTGATTTTCTCCAAATCTCCTCGGTTGGTTCAGGCAATACAATAGACCCCAACTTATGCCAAATAGCATGACAAACATCCTTCACTACTTCTCGGACTGTGCTGAAACCTAGTCGGAAACTGAAGCCCAGACTTCGAAAAGAGTTTCCAGATGCCAAATATCAGATTTTTGTAATATTTCTTAATATAAACTTGTTTCAGCTAGGAGTTATAAATATGTAATAATTATTTTCTTTCTCTTTTTACAGCTGAAACGGTGAAAGATGCCAGGGATAAATTACGCAGATGTTCCAGGAATG